CATGTTTCATTGCAGTTGTTAAAGCAATATCTGTTCTTGCACCTGGGTCAGCACTTTGGTTTCCAACTTCACCTGCAAAGTCTTTGACAGATATTTGGTGTATAGGGAACATAAGTGGAACTGCAATATATTTGGCAGCTAAAGCATTTGAAATATCTGGGTCCAACATATAGACTGCAAGTCTGCTTTCTATTCTCTTGCATTCAAATTTTTCGCATGTGAACTTAACTGGGTCCCAAGCAGTTCCAGCAGCATTGAAATAATAGTTTACTTCAGTGTTGAAGTTTGAGAAACCAAAGTCTAAGTCAACTTTGTCTTTGCAAAATTCGGCGAATGACGTTTGATTTGTTCCCTTTACGTCTGTAATAGTGAATGGGTCTTGTGTTGGTGCAATGACTAAGTTATTTTTGCTTGGAGTAAGTTCGATAGAAATTTTTCCTGCCCAGTTTGGCAAGTATCTTAAAAACCTGAAGATGAGGAAAGATGACAAAGGAACTCTAAGTTTCAGTTTTACTTTGGTTACTGCTGCAGCAGTTTGTCCAGAAAGGTTAACATAAACTCCTGGAACGTTAGGGTCAAGTCTTCTTATTTTCTCAATAGTTGCATACTGGTCTGTTTGTTCTCTAGCTTGTGGTTGTACTGAGTTTCTCAAAGCGAACCATTCATAGTTTGCCCATGTTACTGTTTGAACTAAGTCAGAGTTAGAATATATCTTATATCCCATGAAAACTTCTGGAGCATATTGGTATCCGACATAGAAAATTCCATTGCAACCTTTCTTGTCAGACAACTTGGCAGAAGGTTTTATTTCAATGTCTTGTTCCACGTATAAGAATGAGTTGTCAATAGAAATAATATGAAACCTGTCGCAAGCAATATCTACTGTTGTTGAAGAACCTTCTCCAAACTCACCTACGTTTCCATAAGAAACAGCAGTTGTATATTCGTAAGTTCCAGGAACTATTTCTGACCTTCTAATGGCATTGTCGCATTCGTTATACCATTCGGAAACATTTCCGTTCATGGCATCCAAAACTGTTGGCGTTATATTCTGAGCGGCGTACATTTCATATGGGTAAAAATATAGAATAGTTGGATTTATGTGTCATAATAGAACCCACGTGGACCAAGCTTTACTTTCTTCCTGGCTGAGTTTTTAACTCTTCTTTTTCCTTCATTGCCACTACTTTCACTAGATGAAGTTACTTCTTCACTACTTTCACTTTGTTCTACTCTTCTCTTCTTCTTTGGTGTCGCTTTTGGTAACTTGCCCTCTGCTTCAAGTTGTTGCATCTTTGCCTCATGTTCACCTAGTATGTTGTAAATTTCCCATGTCCTTTTTGCCTTTGGGCTCTGGTCGCCCATCTCAGGTAACCTATATCCTAGAAAGATTTTGTCATAGTTTGTATTTGAGTCTTCGCGTATTGTTTGCATGACTCTTTCCTGAGTTTCCGGTTCAAGCTCTTCAAACAGAGCTTGTCCATATGGAATAAGCTCGTTTCCAAATATATGTTTTTGTAGCCATTCTGGTTTTCTTTCCATGTTACCAACAATATCTTTTGTGAATGGGAAAGCTTTTACCCAACGTTTCAGGCTTGCGTCATTTATTTCTGTAGTTGGTTTTATTTTGTCAAGGAACATGTTTTTCAATACTAACATTTCATTTGGCTGTCCATTTGAGTTTACTTAAATATTCATCCCTTCTCGGTTCATTGTCTGCAAAGTAAGTTTTTATGACATTTTGTAAACTTTCGTTTGCAAGGTCATGTACAATAGGTTCTCTTCCTTCTGTCTCCCTAACTTTCTTTCTAAACTCTTCACCAAATATACCATCTTTATGGTTCTGTGTAGTTCTTTGAGATAAATGTTCTAGAACGTCAGGTGTTATATTTCCATCAGTTCATTTCATACTGGTCCAAAATATCTGCATCTTTCATATCTTTCAATGGCATTAAAGCCGCGCTGAAAACCAGCTAAATCTGGTTCACCATTGACTTCCATTGCGTCTACAACTTCTTGGAATTGTGGTTGTAAGTTTATGAACCACCTATCCGGGTTAGCTTTATGACCCCATCTCATTGTAGTTCCATAGTCTGCAGAAACAAAAGTAGGTTTGTTTCCATATTGGTTAGGTTCTGAATGAACTTTAAACAATGTTTCATTTCTATATGTTTTGTTGAAATTTAACCTTTTATTTTCACCGAGTTCAGCCAAAGATTGAACGTTATATGGTCGTAAGTAAAAAGGGTTATTGTATTCGCGTACATTTTCTTTCAGTACTTCCATTCTATGCTGAATATTTTCATCTGGTGTTGGAGTCTTTTGTATGTCGGCAAACATTTTTCGATATTCTTCTACTATGCCAGCCGAATTTTTTTTAGACTCTTGGAAAGATTCCATATTCACCTCATACTCTTGTTGAGGGTCAAGATTTTTCGGCTGTTCCAAATCTTCATCTAGTTCTGTGAAGTTAGTTTCCAAAGGAGGGACTTGTTCGTTTCCTTCAGGCTCTTCTAGCTGTTGTTGCTGAACTATTTCTTCCATGTCTGGTTGTATCTGAACTTCTTCCTGTGGAGTTTCTTGTACCTCATCTGCTGGCATTTCATATATTCCGAGACCGTTTTTAACAAGTTCCCTATCTAAGTCATCCGGACTCATAACCTTTCTTCTTTCGTTCCGTCTCTATTTTTTACGCGTTTCATGAAGAGAGTTGAATTGTCATTTAGCTCTGACACCAAATATCTCGGAGTAAATTCAGTCATGTCATTTGGATGATATGCTATTAAATCATATCCTTAGCGAGCTTGTATTTTCCAGGTTTGAAATTATATCCCATTTGGTGCTGAGCCATAAAGCTAAATAGGTTCGGGTCAGTATTTCCTTCCTTGAACTTTCTAATAGCTTCTTTATATCTGTCACTAAAGTCAAGAGTAGCTGGGTAACCATAGTCTTCTTTAAGCATTTTTAAGAAATCTTGGTTTCCTTGTTCTCTACTTCTTTTATGTCCTTGCTCTGTTTGTGGTTGTTGTTGTGCTGGTTGTGGAGGTGGTTGTTGTGCAGGGTTTTGAACTGTTGGTTGCTGTGCTGGTTGTGGAGGTGGTTGTTGTGCTGGATTTTGAACTGTTGGTTGTTGTGCTGGTTTTGGTGCATGCCTGTGTCTGTGTCCATGTGACGATGTAAATGTTTTAGGTAGTCCTGGTGCAGGTGCTTCTCTTGGAGGGTTTGGTGGTATATAGGTTCCACTAGCTAGTATATAAATTCCACCAGCTGGTATATAAGTTCCACCAGCTGGCACATATGTTCCATCTGCAGCATAATGTCCTACCTGACTTTTCGTTTTTAAGAAAGCATTTACTAGGTCTGTTTTGGTCTGTTGTAACTCTTTTTCTTGACTTTCCACAACAGTTGCTCTAACGGCGTCATAGGCACTTTGAACTGCCTGTCTCGTTGCTGCATCTGTTATTTTCGTCATATTTTGTGCTACTTCTCTTAACTCTTTGTCGAAACCTTCAGACTTCAGTTTCTTTCCAGATGAGAAGTCGTTCACTAGTTTCACCTTACTATGAAGAGCTTCGAAGGCGTTCTTAAAGTCAGCATTCATTAAAGCTTCATTTGAACTGTCTTCATCCGCTTGTATTTTTGTCCTTATTGACCCTATAAGTTGGGCTGCTTTGGCGTTGGCTTGGGTATCTAACCAGTCATTGTTAGCTTTTATATATTCTGCGCTTTTCATTGCCTTTTGCATGGCTGCGTCGTTATTTTTACTTTCTTGTGCTAAGTTTTCATACTGTACGTACGGTTTGGTTTTGCAACTGTAAAAGTTTTTCTGCCTTTACATTTGCTTCAACTTCTTTTTTATACTCATCGCTATCCATATATGTCTTCAGGGCTTTTTGTTTTATTTCTTCATCTTTCAGTACTTTATATTGAGTAGTATGGTTTTTCAAATTTATAACATCTTGTTCCATTTTTGCTACTTCTGCTGCTTTTTCTGACACTTTTTTCGCATATTCCTCTGTACTTAGTTCTTTCAGTTGTTCTTCTTTCTTCTTTTTCTCTACGTTTAACTCATTGAGTTTCTTTGTGTGTCTGTCATATTCTAGTTTCTTTTCGTTTTCACCTATTTGCTTCTGTATGTCTATGTTTGACTTTTTGACATCTGATATTTGATTTTTGAGTGAACTCAAATTCATTTGACTTTGAGGGTTATAGGCTGTTCCGTCTGCGGCTCCACCATAGCCTGCCATTTTCGCTAAAAGTGCCGCTCTTAAACCTCCACTCTGTGCACCAAAAACTCGGTTTAAAAGCATAGGATTGCTTGACATTTGTTGCAACATAGTGGGGTCATTCAGCATTTGTTGTTGCAACTGTTGTTGTGGTGTCAGTTTTACTATTGGATGTTTCAATGCTCTCTTCCTCTTACGTATATTCTTACGTAGCTTACGTGGCATTTTAAGTGAAGTTAAAAAGCGGTTTTCGACAGATGTTTATATGACACTTTCTCCGGTTTATAGGACCTCTCTCATATTCTATCTTGTCATATCTAAACTCATAGTCATGTATGTCCTCTAACCATCTCATAACGGTTTCCAAACCACTTTTATCGGATGTAAAGTAAAAGCATGGATGGTTATGTAAAACGTCTAAAGTTTCTAAAGAGTCTCTCAAAGTATACTTCCTTGGAACGCCCGTAACTTTTCCTGTAGCGACGATAGACCCTTACTTGTCCGGACAAAGTTATACTATTTTGAGTGCTCTACAAAAAAGTCAACGACGACGACTCTCAAAAATTTTTTATGGGCTAGAAGGGGCGCAACGCGCCCGGGAAGCCCCCAATACCCAAAAAACTTCATTTATACTAAACATCTTCAGGGCTAGAGGGCACGAAGTGCCTGGAGGCCCCACTACCTTTTTTTTTTAGGTTTTCATATAATAAGGATGCAAATTTTGGTATACGAGAGCGAAATGAAAATTGTGTCAAAACCGCCAAATTTTAATCAATGAGTTCAGTTTACGGTATAATTCCTCCAGGCCAGGCCAAAATTGAATTATTTTCAAGATGTGATGCAAGGTTAACCACATTTCCTAGGATTTCTCGTTCAGCAACAGTTACAACAGTTGATGTTTCGAAAAATCCAATAAAATCTTTCGAAGGAATGGTAGAAATGCCAGAACTTGAGATGCTTAATATTAGTGAAACAGAAATCAAGTCATTCCTTGGTGCATTGGCTCTTCCAAGCCTCAAGGTTCTTCAAATGGATCATACACCATTAGCAATGTATCAACACGTTCAATTAATGGCAGCAATAGTCTTTGGTGAAGGTGTTGCTCGCGTCAACAAGAAGAATGTCCTCAAAAACGAAGCCAGACTTGCTGTTGAATTAAGAGAAACACTCTTTGATCAATTAGTTGAAGGATGGATCATTACTTCGGTCCAACCAATCAGGCTCTTCAATACAATTACATTAAAACGCAAAGTTGTTTACAAAGTTGAAAACATCGACAGACCAATGCCAGGACTTGACTCTCTGCTTCCGCAGCGCACAGATAGATTTACTCCTGGTGAAAACTTCAACACATCTAAAGTTCGTCGCAGAACTTTGAAACCGTTAACGAGAAGACCATCTCAAATTTCGAAATCAACAAATCAATCAGCATCTACTACAGAATTAAATGAAACTCAAGTCGAATTACCAGATTCTTCCCAAAAAGATTTCGATGAATCTCCTATTTCTTCTCCAGAAAAGGCTCCAGTCGAAGAAAAACATCCTGAAGAAGAGCAGCATAATGAGGAGAAAGAAGATCTTAGCAAATTATCAATTGAGCAATTACTTCAAGATTCAGAAGATGATGAAGTCAAAATCGAAGCAGAACAGAAGGAAGAACAACCAGAACATAAAGAAGTATCAGAAAATAAGGAAGAGGAAGAAAAGAATGAAGAAACAACAAAGATAGAAGAAGAAATCAAACAAGAAGAGAAGAAACCAGAGGAAGAAGTAAAGATTGAAGAAGAAAAACAAGTTGAAATAAAGAAAGAGGCAGAAGAAGTCAAAAAAGAAGAAAATGAATTAAATTTGGTACCAGAAGTTCATGAAGAGTTCAATTCTGAAGATAATGATGACGATGATGAACCTCCTGTTAATGCTATCGCTGCTTTCTTGAATCAAGATTCCGATGACGAAGAAAAGTTACCTAACGTAGAAGAAGAAGAAGATAAAAAGGAAGAGGAAATAAAACCAGTACCAGAAATAGAAGAAAAAGTAGAACAAAAGGAAGAACCGAAATCCTCAGAAAAAATTGAGACAGAAAATTTACCAAAAAGTGACACTGAAAACAAACAAGAAGAAAATCCAAAAATAGAGGAAGAACATGTTGTAGAAGAGAAGCAAGCAGAAGATATTCCACAAGTTACAGCTGCTGTTGATAATGACGAGGCTGATGATGAAGGACTTCCAAAGATTGAAGATGATGAGGAAGGACTTCCAAACATCGATGATGGAGATGATGACATTATTAACCCAGATGATTTGGAAACAAAGGATTCTCAAAAGACTGATTCTACTACAGAAAAGAAAGATGATGTTAATGACTTTTTCGACGCTTTCTAAACTCGTAATAAATCTTTTTATTTTTAATCTATACCAATCGCAACTAAGCTCTTTGTTATGATAAATTGCCCATTGTTGATGATATTTCCTGAAGCAAAACTAATTTTGGTGACTTCTAAGAATGAGTATCTTTATAATAGATTATTAGTAAAGTAAATCAGTATACAAGTTTACAATAGAAATCAATATAATACATGAAAAATATTAAAGTTATTGTTTTGGTTGAAGAGGATGTCCAGGAATCTTCTTGACAGTGAACTTGCTATCCTTAGTTCGGTATGGATTGTTTGGAGATCCGTTGACTGCGCAATGACATCCGATGTAAGAAGTACAATTTGTCTGAGCTTTTGGAACAATTGGACCATTTCGCCATGAAAGATCGAAACCACCATAATGTAATGGTAATTCATTGGGACTTTCAGCTGCTTGAAGCATTTGAACTAAATCAAGCATTTCGTTCAGCATACTGAACTTCATGTCATAATCATCTTCAGTATTTGCATCAAGTGACGGAGAAGCGTTGATTTCAATAAGCCATGGACGGAGATCGTCTGTAATCATGATATCGTAGCCATATAATTCGTAGCAATGTTTGTCTGGTATAATTGATGATTGAACTGATAGAAGAGAGTTCAACATGATGCTTTGAATAGCTGTAAAGAGCTGATTTGTTGCTTCCATTCCGTATCTATGAATGAAATATGTTCTCAGACTGTGGGAATCCCATTTGCAACCATGACGAGGGTTATAAGCCTCTGAATGTGTCTGAACTGCAATGTTTGTAAGGTGTATGTCGCGATCTGCAAAATTCTTCATTGTAAACGGTTGAGAAGAGAATCTGCAGAATCCACCTCTATAGATGTATGCTATTAGTGGATTAAATGAGAGAGTTAAGGCGTACAAACGAATATCAAATTTTCTTCCTCCAATTAAGAAAGAATTGGAAATATAACGCTGTACAACATATGTGCATCGCATTTTGTCTTCAGGTGTCGCATCTGGTGAGTTAAATTTAGCATTATTTTGAGCATTGAATTTGACAGCTTCTTGTTCATTTTGAAGGAAGAGAATGCCTTGACCTTGTGATCCACCAACTGGTTTTGCAATCCAAATCAAATTTTTACCTTTCATCTCATCATGAAATCTCATATAGTCATTTGGAAGGACAAATGTTTGTGGGAAGAAATCCACAGTAGCTTGTTGACCAATCTTACGTAACTCTCGGCCAAGTTTCATAAGATTTTTTGCCATCAGATCTTTTCTTGTGAGTTCAAATGAGTTTGGGAAGTGATTAACACGCTGATTTGGTGTTAATACAACAGGCGTTGCTCCAAGCATATGTCCATGAATCCAAGCGCGGCTTGCCCAAATAAAATCCCAATCAAATCTGTCTTCTTCATCTTCTTCTTCAGCACATGGAATTTCTGTGTATCCTCTTGATAAAAATACATCTTTGATTGTGTTTTTCATGTGGCATTGAAAAGACAAAGGCTTAGACATTTATTCTAACGTTCCTGAATATAAAATTTTGTATCGGTAATTTCTTTCAATTTTACAATAAGTTCTTGTGGATGAGCAGAATCATGTTGTAATACGTTGGATATTAAAGTTAATAATTTTTTTTTGAATGTTGCTAGCTGAGGTAAATATACAATATATCAGATACTTTATAGTGGTAAATACTATTCTTCTCCATAAAATTTTGTATGGAAATTCACCATTCGATTTCTTCGATTTCTATCAATTTCATTGAATGGGAGGAAAATATAGGTTGTTCTGTTGTAAACAGAAATTCATCAAAAGTGACACCTCAGAAAAGCTAAAATATTGAATTTTTGGAACTTTTGATAGAGCACGTTTTTAAATATTAATTAAAGTAAATGTATATTTTGTAAAGATTCTTTTTAATAAAAAAATAAAATTTTGAAGAAGAACACAAAATCTTCTGAAAAATAATATCACATAAACTCATATTATTTCCTAATATATAACTATTTTATATAAAAATCAAATTCAATGATCTTAAAAGCGAAGGATAAACCTCAAAATTTACGAATATAATGAGTGGGAATATAATGCTTATCTATCATAAAACCATATGAAATATCAATTTTTGCTTTACGCCTAATTTTTGACGACAATTAGCAAAAAATGTTAAATGTTAACACTCAGTCCATTTGAATATGAAAAATAAAATTGATATTTCATATGGTTTTATGATAGATAAGCATTATATAGGTCAGGTCAGTGGGGCTTCCAGGCGCGTTGCGCCCTCTAGCCCCTAAGAAACTAGAGGAGGAATGATACAAAGACCAGATGAAAAAAATAAAAATATTATAATAAAATTAAATTTTTAGTCTTAAATTGTTTTTTTATTCGGTATATTCTGAATCTTGAATGTCTTGGAAATTTTCTTCTTCTTCGCTCTCTGAGGTGAGGATTTCTTCGACTTCTTCTTCTTCGCTCTCTGAGGTGAGAATTTCTTCGACTTCTTCTTTCGCCATTGGGAGCAACAAATCCTGCGATGAAAACTTTGTATATACCTTCTTGAGGAGTCTCTATGATGAAAGTCGTATTGTTGAGGAAATGGAACTCGACATCTTGAACAAATTGGCAACTGCTGTGTGTGAATTTTGCAATTGTGAGAGGCTTTCCTTTATAGCCCTTGGGAAAGCTTGAGATAGTTACTGTTTCTCCATATGGAACTCTGGCAGGAATATCTAAAGCAACAGTTGTTATAACGTGGAAATTGTCTACGAATTGAGGCATAGGTTCAATGCAGTATAGTCGTTTTGACTGGTTGTCTTTTGTGTAGAAATATAAATAGAATGACCTTTCACCATGTTCATTCAATTCTTCCAAATAATTGTATGAATTTGGATATAAACGGACAAATTCAGCAACTTTAACTTCTTGTAAATGCTTCTGCAAGTTCTTTGGAAACAAGTGAATGAACTGGTCAATAGCTTGCAACGCTATGAGATTGGCAGTAACGGGTAAATATGAAGCAAACATGTCAACAAGTACGCCAGGGTCTTTTATTTCGTTTTCAAGAGGCTGAATGGCATCCATGACAGCTTGAAACATCTCGTTATAATCTCGATTGTCTTCTGAACCCCATTGTTCATTTAGCTTATCTAACAATTCTAACCTTTTCTTTGCGTATTTTCTACGAACTTTCTCTGAAAGAGGAGTGTCGCTATCTTGTGTGTCTTGAATTTGAGACTTAAATTGTTTGCAAAAGGCGAGATATCGTGTTTGCGACCTAGTGGTCATTGCAGAATGTGTTTCTGTATGTTCGATTGGATGTGTTTCTGTATGTTCGATTGGAGTCTGATTGGTATGAACTTCTTCTGAAAATGCTTCTGTTCCGATAGTTGTTGTTGCCTGACCTGTTGGCTGAGCTGTTTCTTTGTGCAAATGCATATTGTTGGACAAATTGTCTTGAATTGTATGAGGAAGTTGCTTTGGTATTATAGGAGGTCGTAAGGGTTTTGAAAATGGTGAGACATAAGTTGTAGGAACTTTAACTGCAGAGGTAGTCGACGAATTGTTTGCGACACTTTTTCTTCCTTCCATTATGAAAAATAAACTCAAATAAGAGTTTGAAATAAACGGTTTTTGTCAACGGAGACCCCCTCTATTTTTTTATTTTATTGAAAAGTCTCCGTTGGCAAACCGTTCCATCTCAAATATTGAATGAACTATAAACGTTTTTTGTTTTCTATATATACTTTTTTGTCCAACGGTAAAACTTTTTACACAACGGTTTTTGAGAGTCGTCGCCGTTGACTTTTTTGTAGAGCACTCAAAATAGTATAACTTTGTCCGGACAAGTAAGGGTCTTCGTCGCTACAGGAAAAGTTACAGGCGTTCCAAGGAAGTATACTTGAGAAGCCTTTCCCTTTAAAAAGATAGGACGGTTATTTTACAAAACTGACAACACTTTGACCGAGTATTTTTTGCTGAACAAAAAGTGTCATATAAACATCTGTCAAAAACCGCTTTTTAACTTCACTTAAAATGCCACGTAAGCTACGTAAGAATATACGTAAGAGGAAGAGCATTGAAACATCCAATAGTAAAACTGACACCACAACAACAGTTGCAACAACAAATGCTGAATGACCCCACTATGTTGCAACAAATGTCAAGCAACCCTATGCTTTTAAACCGAGTTTTGGTGCACAGAGTGGAGGTTTAAGAGCGGCACTTTTAGCGAAAATGGCAGGCTATGGTGGAGCTGCAGACGGAACAGCTATAACCCTCAAAGTCAAATGAATTTGAGTTCACTCAAAAATCAAATATCAGATGTCAAAAAGTCAAACATAGACATACAGAAGCAAATAAGTGAAAACGAAAAGAAACTAGAATATGACAGACACACAAAGAAACTCAATGAGTTAAACGTAGAGAAAAAGAAGAAAGAAGAACAACTGAAAGAACTAAGTACAGAGGAATATGCGAAAAAAGTGTCAGAAAAAGCAGCAGAAGTAGCAAAAATGGAACAAGATGTTATAAATTTGAAAAACCATACTACTCAATATAAAGTACTGAAAGATGAAGAAATAAAACAAAAAGCCCTGAAGACATATATGGATAGCGATGAGTATAAAAAAGAAGTTGAAGCAAATGTAAAGGCAGAAAAACTTTTACAGTTGCAAAACCAAACCGTACAGTATGAAAACTTAGCACAAGAAAGTAAAAATAACGACGCAGCCATGCAAAAGGCAATGAAAAGCGCAGAATATATAAAAGCTAACAATGACTGGTTAGATGCCCAAGCCAACGCTAAAGCAGCCCAACTTATAGGGTCAATAAGGACAAAAATACAAGCGGATGAAGACAGTTCAAATGAAGCTTTAATGAATGCTGACTTTAAGAAGCCTTCGAAGCTCTTCATAGTAAGGTGAAACTAGTGAACGACTTCTCATCTGGAAAGAAACTGAAGTCTGAAGGTTTCGACAAAGAGTTAAGAGAAGTAGCACAAAATATGACGAAAATAACAGATGCAGCAACGAGACAGGCAGTTCAAAGTGCCTATGACGCCGTTAGAGCAACTGTTGTGGAAAGTCAAGAAAAAGAGTTACAACAGACCAAAACAGACCTAGTAAATGCTTTCTTAAAACGAAAAGTCAGTAGGACATTATGCTGCAGATGGAACATATGTGCCAGCTGGTGGAACTTATATACCACCAAACCCTCCAAGAGAAGCACCTGCACCAGGACTACCTAAAACATTTACATCGTCACATGGACACAGACACAGGCATGCACCAAAACCAACACAACAACCAACACAACAACCAACAGTTCAAAACACTGCACCACAACCAACAGTTCAAAACACTGCACCACAACCAACAGTTCAAAACCCTGCACAACAACCAACAGTTCAAAATCCAGCACAACAACAACCACAAACAGAGCAAGGACATAAAAGAAGTAGAGAACAAGGAAACCAAGAATTCTTAAAAATGCTAAAGGAAGACTATGGTTACCCAGATACTCTTGACTTTAGTGACAGATATAAAGAAGCTATTAGAAAGTTCAAGGAAGGAAATACTGACCCGAACCTATTTAGCTTTATGGTTCAGCACCAAATGGGATATAATTTCAAACCTGGAAAATACAAGCTCGCTAAGGGATATGATTTAATAGCATATCATCCAAATGACATGACTGAATTTACTCCGAGATATTTGGTGTCAGAGCTAAATGACAATTCAACTCTCTTCATGAAACGCGTAAAAAATAGAGACGGAACGAAAGAAGAAAGGTTATGATCCGGATGACTTAATAGGGAACTTGTTAAAAACGGTCTCGGAATATATGAAATGCCAGCAGATGAGGTACAAGAAACTCCACAGGAAGAAGTTCAGATACAACCAGACATGGAAGAAATAGTTCAGCAACAACAGCTAGAAGAGCCTGAAGGAAACGAACAAGTCCCTCCTTTGGAAACTAACTTCACAGAACTAGATGAAGATTTGGAACAGCCGAAAAATCTTGACCCTCAACAAGAGTATGAGGTGAATATGGAATCTTTCCAAGAGTCTAAGAAAAATTCGGCTGACATAGTAGAAGAATATCGAAAAATGTTTGCCGACATACAAAAGACTCCAACACCAGATGAAAATATTCAGCATAGAATGGAAGTACTGAAAGAAAATGTACACAAATACAACAACCCTTTTTACTTACGAGCATATAACGTTCAATCTTTGGCTGAACTCGGTGAAAATAAAAGGTTAAATTTCAACAAAACATATAGAAATGAAACATTGTTTAAAGTTCATTCAGAACCTAACCAATATGGAAACAAACCTACTTTTGTTTCTGCAGACTATGGAACTACAATGAGATGGGGTCATAAAGCTAACCCGGATAGGTGGTTCATAAACTTACAACCACAATTCCAAGAAGTTGTAGACGCAATGGAAGTAATGGTGAACCAGATTTAGCTGGTATTTTCAGCGCGGCTTTAATGCCATTGAAAGATATGAAAGATGCAGATATTTTGAACCAGTATGAAATGAACATGGCTGATGGAAATATAACACCTGACGTTCTAGAACATTTATCTCAAAGAACTACACAGAACCATAGAGATGGTATATTTGGTGAAGAGTTTAGAAAGAAAGTTAGGGAGAGAAGGAAGAGAACCTATTGTACATGACCTTGCAAACGAAAGTTTACAAAATGTCATAAAAACTTACTTTGCAGACGATGAACCGAGAAGGGATGAATATTTAAGAAAACTCAAATGGACAGTACCAAATGAAATGTTAGTATTGAAAAACATGTTCCTTGACAAAATAAAACCAACTACAGAAATAAATGACGCAAGACTGAAACGTTGGGTAAAAGTCTTCCCATTCACAAAAGATATAATTGGTAACATGGAAAGAAAACCAGAATGGCTACAAAAACATATATTTGGAAACGAGCTTATTCCATATGGACAAGCTCTGTTTGAAGAGCTTGAACCGGAAACTCAGGAAAGAGTCATGCAAACAATACGCGAAGACTCAAATACAAACTATGACAAAATCTTTCTAGGATATAGGTTACCTGAGATGGGCGACCAGAGCCCAAAGGCAAAAAGGACATGGGAAATTTACAACATACTAGGTGAACATGAGGCAAAGATGCAACAACTTGAAGCAGAGGGCAAGTTACCAAAAGCGACACCAAAGAAGAAGAGAAGAGTAGAACAAAGTGAAAGTAGTGAAGAAGAACAAAGTGAAAGTAGTGGCAATGAAGGAAAAAGAAGAGTTAAAAACTCAGCCAGGAAGAAAGTAAAGCTTGGTCCACGTGGGTTCTATTATGACAATAAATCCAACTATTCTATATTTTTACCCATATGAAATGTACGCCGCTCAGAATATAACGCCAACAGTTTTGGATGCCATGAATGGAAATGTTTCCGAATGGTATAACGAATGCGACAATGCCATTAGAAGGTCAGAAATAGTTCCTGGAACTTACGAATATACAACTGCTGTTTCTTATGGAAACGTAGGTGAGTTTGGAGAAGGTTCTTCAACAACAGTAGATATTGCTTGCGACAGGTTTCATATAATTTCTATTGACAACTCATTCTTATACGTGGAACAAGACATTGAAATAAAACCTTCTGCCAAGTTGTCTGACAAGAAAGGTTGCAATGGAATTTTCTATGTCGGATACCAATATGCTCCAGAAGTTTTCATGGGATATAAGATATATTCTAACTCTGACTTAGTTCAAACAGTAACATGGGCAAACTATGAATGGTTCGCTTTAAGAAACTCAGTACAACCACAAGCTAGAGAACAAACAGACCAGTATGCAACTATTGAGAAAATAAGAAGACTTGACCCTAACGTTCCAGGAGTTTATGTTAACCTTTCTGGTTCAGATGGAAATGCTGTCACTAAAGTAAAACTGAAACTTAGAGTTCCTTTGTCATCTTTCCTCATCTTCAGGTTTTTAAGATACTTGCCAAACTGGGCAGGAAAAATTTCTATTGAACTTACTCCAAGCAAAAATAACTTAGTCATTGCACCAACACAAGACCCATTCACTATTACAGACGTAAAGGGAGCAAATCAAACGTCATTCGCCGAATTTTGCAAAGACAAAGTTGACTTAGACTTTGGTTTCTCAAACCTCAACACTGAAGTAAAGTATTATTTCAATGCTGCTGGAACTGCTTGGGACCCAGTTAGGTTTACATGCGAACAGTTTGAATGCAAGAGAATAGAAAGCAGACTTGCAGTCTATATGTTGGACCCAGATATTTCAAATGCTTTAGCTGCCAAATATATTGCAGTTCCACTTATGTTCCCTATACACCAAATATCTGTCAAAGACTTTGCAGGTGAAGTTGGAAACCAAAATCCAGGAACCGCAGGTGCAAGAACAGATATTGCTTTAACAACTGCAATGAAACATGCAGATACTATGTTTGTACTGTTCAGACGAACTATAAATGACTATTCTTGTTTCTACAACCCGGTATTAAATATCATATAAACATAGATGGCAAATATTATCCAAGAGAAGAATATTCTACAGTTGAGGATATGAGGTCATACAACTTGACATTAGATGCTATGAACTTTAACAACAACTTCACAACAACCATTAACCCTGAAATGCAAAGTTCTATTATGCCATATGTGAAAGTATGGACCCATACAGGAAGTCAAAAAACTCAATATACAAATGGAGACCGTTCAAACTTTTGGCTTGGCATTCCATTTGCTGACTCAGAAGACTTTATGGGTGGTATTTCAACTGTTGGTACTGTACAAATACAATATACTGGTGACAGAGACGGTCCATATGAACTGAGAGCAAAGAAGTTTACAAAACCAATAGCACTTTTCACGGAAGATGCTCTTTTGAAGATTCGTTCGATGAAACCTGCTGGGGCTCCTCAGATTGGCATAACGACAGCTTCCATCGAGCAGATTTTGGCAGCAGGTCAGTAAGTTGTTCTTGAACTGACTTCTCTCCGTCAAATATTGACAGTACGCCAGTTTTGACATAAAATTGTATTATAAACTTACCTTTAGAAATATCTGTAAGTTTTGTTGTTATATTTTTGTCTGCTTCAAGAACTTTCACCATTTCAGTTATACCAACTTTCTTTGCTTTATGAAAATATTTTGGTTCAGCAAAGACTGCTATTCTATAACATTTTCCATTGTTTGTGTAAAGAACTATTCTGTCAATGTATTTGTATTGTTTGTGTGTGTAAACTTTGTTCTGCTTCAATTCGAAGAGATATCCGAATACGTCCATCTTTTTATTCTAAGTAAAATGTCATTTCCGAAAAATAGAAGCGTAAGTGTTTCAAAAGGTTTAATGGCGGTGGCAGATGTGAAGTTAAATTCACCAACTCAAACAAACAGTCAAAGTGTTATTGTCAATGTCAAAGAAAGAGATGTTGAAGTGGGGAAACCATACGAAGACGAAGATGGTATAACAATTGTTCCTGTAAAAGAACAACCAACATACCCTGAAGTTAGCAGAGACTTAAGTTCTGTTGCAGATATTCGAAACGACTACCAACAACTGAAAGACAAACTTCAAACTCAGGAGAAGATTTGTCAAGCTTTAGGTATAATGTTAAACTTGGTCGAACACAACCCTGTAAAAGTGAACTCATATGTCATTGCACCTCATGAAGTTTTGAAAGAACTATTGAAACTTTTGACAGAGGCAGACGATATAAACATCAAAGAAATAGAACCCGACGTTAGTTGCTGTGGTGTTTCATATAATGTCATTGACAAGATATACGTTATGAAAGGAGGTGAAACGTTGAACTTAAAATATAGTTTCCCAGACGTTATAAAAATATTTGACGACCACAACATTTCATTAAAATTTATTTGCTAAGTAAATGGCAGAAGACAACAATGGTTTATACTATTACGACTAAAAACCCTGAGTCATATAATTCTATAACAACAAACTTACAAAGTCCTCAAGGACGATATTGTAAACTAACTTAAACACAATGACGACTAAAGCTTGTTTTGCTCTTTTGACACCAGAAGATTTTATTGTTGTGAATGGTAAAAAATACTCCTTTGAAGATACTTACTCAGATATACCACCAACAGGTTTTGTTGACTTATTTAATACTTTAAGGACGAGTGTAACATGTGCTGCAACTAGAGCAGGTTTCATTATGTTTGGATGTCCGACTGAGTTTACTATAAACAATATGAGCTATAATACAAAACTTATATCTGGTTTTTACTACCAACAGTTTCCTATAACAGGAAAAGGTGTCATACAAGGAATGTCTGTTCCATTGACTTTAAGTACACCTATTTTATATATTGTTTCAAACTTAGGTTCAAAGTGTTATTCGAATGTCGACAGAAACTACTATGACCAAAAGATACTTATGCGTATAAACAACACTTTCTCTGCTGGTTTGCCTATTGTTCATTCGAATGCAGAGTTTTCAGCTTTAGTAAACTCAAACACTTTAGCAAACATAAACTTAACCTTAGTTGACGCAAACTTTGTTCCTGTAAAACTTTTATGTCCTATGTATTTGTCAATGACGGCAGAAAGTTTCGAATTGGAAGATGCAACTGGTGAAAGTATTGTATTACAAGAACAACTTCAACAACAAATAGCTCAAGAACAACAAATGCAACAAATGCAACAAATAGCTCAAGAATAAAAAAAAATTTTTTTTTATTTTTATAAAAATGTACAGAATAGATGTTTCAGATTTTTATGACTTCCAAGCATTCAGAAATATGTGTCCATTTAGAGACTATAACAAAGCAGTCGAGAATTTGAAACGTTTAGTCATTTATGTCGACTCTGCCCCAGAATGTTATGTTATGAAAGAATGGGATGTAGTCTTTAACAAACCAAGAGCAACAATAGTTTCAGAACAAGAATGTAAACAGAAACTTAAGAAAATAAAAGTCGTACAAGTTGGCATGAAGATGTTAGATGCTTGGGATATCTTATTGTCAAAGTTAGAAGATTTTTCAGTTCGTGGTATAAAGTTCTATACACCTTCTCCAAACTTCTATTCTATCTTCACTGGATATAAATACGAACAAGTAGAATGGAAAGAAAATATTATAGAAGCTTGGTTAGACCATGTCAAAGAAATTATATGCAATGGAAACGAAAGAGTCTATGAGTATATCTTATGTTGGTTTGCAAACATCTTACAACATCCAAGTGCTAAAAATGAAACTGCTCTCATTATAATTGGAAAACAAGGAACAGGTAAGAACACTTTCTTTACAGATATTTTGTGCAAACTGTTAGAGGTTATTCGAATCCGAATATGACAAACTTAGAAAACATCTGCGGTAAATTTAACTCTTCAATAGAGAATATGAAACTTATAGTATGTAACGAACTTCAAAGTATAGATACAACAAAAGTTTTAAACTCAGATGCTTTGAAGAGTCTTATAACAGACAAAGTTGGAGTTGTTGAAAGAAAATATAAAGACCAAAGAGTTTGTGAAAATGTTGCAAATTTCATTATGGTTTCAAACAATGCTGTTCCGATGAAGTTAGAAAGTTCTGACAGAAGATATGTAGTTGTCAGAACGTCAGAAGCTCATATGCAAGATACAGAATATTTTGACGACTTAGCAGAAACTTTGACATCTGACTTTTACAACCACTTGTTCTCATATTTCATGACATTAGATATTTCAAAGTTCAATCCAAGACAAATTCCACATACCGAAGAGAGACAAACATTGTTAGAAGCAAACAAGAGTGTATATGAACTGTTCATAGATGAAACTGACTTTGAGTGTTTAGATGAAAGGTCATTGTACGATTCGTATAAACAATATTGTCAAGAGTATGGTTATATGACAGCGTCTAAACGAACATTCTTGGCAAATGTCAAAAGTCTTTTAGATGTTCAGAATGGTGTATATACAAAGAAAAATTTTTCTGAGTAAATTTTAAAAAAAATATTTTTTTTATCCGATAGAAAAGATGACAAAATTCATCTCAGTAAACAAGTACATGTCAGGACTTAAAGAAGAACTAGACCCATTCACATATTTGAATGTTTACTTCTACCATTTTGAAAAGTCTTCATTCAGCAAAGTTTGGAACATCGAACCAGTTAAGTTTGCTATTGTGACTAAAAATGGTGCGAAATTTGAAGACTTAGACATAGAAGGTTTGTTACAGTCAAAGAAAGTTTTGACAGAAGGTTCTCAAAACTCGAAGAAGGCAAAGCATACAAACTTGTTATACCTTATGAACCAAAGAAAGCAGACGACTATGAATATTATGAGTCTAAAGTTGTAGAAGTTCAAGGTAAATTGGGTAAAAAGATTTTAGAGTCTAAGCCAGTGTTTGCTCCTAAAGAGGAAGAGAACATTGACATTGACCCAGAAATGTTCTAAAAATAAAATTTTATTTTTACATGTCAAATTTCTTTTTCTCTGGAACTGGTTCAGGTTCTTTCTTCTCTTCTTCTACTTTCTTTCTTTCTTTTCTCTCTTCTTCTTTTCTGGTGGAGTTATGTCAAACTTCTCAGAACCATATTTTTGTAAAAGTTCTTTGTCCTTTAATAGCTCTTCTATTCTGTTTTCTATTTCATCTTCAAGAACAGTGCATGTGTCTTCTTTGCATTCTAAGAAGTTTTGTTGGACTTCATCTCTCCAAGAGGCGTCATCTCTGTCAACAAGTCTGTCATTGACAAATTTTAAGACTTCTCTGCTTAATGTTTTATGGTTCTTGTCATATTCCCAGAAACAGAACTTTAGAACAAATTCACCTTTCTTGTTTACACTATGTAAGATTTTATGGTCTACAGATGTTTTGCTGTCGAAAAGCTTGTCTCGAATATAGATGGCGAAATCACTAGACATTTTCTAAAAGATAAAAATTTTAATTTTTCTAAAAATATGTTAGAAAAAAAGTTTGCTGACATTGACAAAAAATTTGAGAATGTTTTAAATAAGAACAAGGTGAAATTAGAAAATGCTCAGATAAAACCCATACATGACAAGTTCTTATTTGCTCAGAATGGTATAACAGGTCTAATTGCACCACCTGGGTCGGGTAAGACTTTCACTTATCTTAAAATGGCTGCACAACAACAAGAACTAGATGAGAAGAACCCATTCTATGAGTTAGTTGTTATTTGTAGTACTTCTGGTCAATTTGACCAAACCGTCAATTCGTTCAAAGATATTATAAAGAAGTCTAAGTTAGTATGTATAAAAGACTCTGAGTTGTTAGATTGGATAAAGAAGTACCAAAGAAGAGTTTTGAAGTACAATGCTATAAATGAGTATGTCAATTCGAAGTTTAAAGACCCAAATGAGGAAATGCAGAGAATATTAGAGAAGAAACACTTCAGAAACAAACAGAAAGAGATAGAATACATTTCGAAGAAATTGCAATCTTACGATTGGAAGACATACCCTCATAGGTGTCTTCTTATCTTAGATGACTTTGCTTCTCATCCTTTGTTAAAGAACAGAGAACAAGATATGTGTCGAATTCTTAAGAAGCTCAGACACTTTAACATCTCTGTTGTCATTTGTGTACAGACAGCAAAGAGTTTAAGTAAGGATGTAAAGAGAATACTTACTGACATTGTACTTTTCCCCGGATTGTCCGAAGACGATTTCATGGAACTTATGAAAGAGTCCATGGCAGGTAAGTTTGACAGACATGAACTATGGGAGAAGTACAAAGTCATACAAGACCCTCATACTTCTTTCAGAATTCATATCTACGCAAACAAAGTTCAAATTGTAAAAAGTCAAGCTTGAAAAATCTAAGTGTTTAGTCTTAGTAAGATGGTAGCTTCTTAAAGCAAATACCATTGCTGAGTTTTATGTACGTGAAGAGAAGTACAATGAATTCAATTACGAGTACAATTGCAATGACAACTAAGGCAACTATTTTTGTCTTTTGCCAGCAAGGGTACTTCTTCTCTTCCAATGGTTCGGCAGAACTATACTCACTCATGAGAAATGCCAAAACGGTTTAATAGAAAAAGTGAAAGTTATTCTTCATTTTTTTGTATAAAAGATATGATTTTAGGGATTTTTTTGACGAAGTGTCAAAGTTCTCTTCGTAAAAAAATAACAGTTACATAATGAAATTTGGTCATTTTTTCACGATTTCAGGGATTTTTTTTACGAAGTGCAAAAGTTCTCTTCGTAAAAAAATAACAGTTATATAATGAAAAAGTGTCATTTTTTCATGTCCGAAGACTCGAAGGTGCAACACTTCCAAAATACCGACGAACTCAGAAGAGCAGCATGGCAGTATCTTCTTGACAACTTCTTTGAGTTCTCCAGGTACACCTTGGAAAATGCTGAAGAACTCCGACACAGAGAATTTGGAGAAATTGCACTCCAATACTACCTTGACAAACAAAGGGTAAACAAAGGGTAAACAAAGGGTAAAATAAGACTAAAAACTTAACGTTTAAAAAGTGACATTTTTAATGAGCTCCGAGTCACCGAGAAAACTTGGTCAGATGTTAGCAGCTTACTTCCCTGAGGAGGATGGAAGCGTTACATACGTAAGGTTCAAAAACAACGAACCTGGAATTGCGTACCAAATTCGCAATTACATGACCATGGAAGAGTACGAAAGGCTCCTACAAGAGAAACCAGCTCTAAACAACTCAGAAAAGAAAGAATAAAAAGTTTAACTCGTAATTGTTTATTTTTTTTACTTGTATGGGCAAGCTGCAAGAATGAAGTCGACTATCTCAGTCTTTGTCTTGACGAGCTGGACGGCTCTTGCGAGTACGTCTGTTTTGCGGTCTCCAGCTGGTGTTTGACCTTCGTAATTGCGCATGTTCTTGAGAGCTCCAACTGTAAATGATTGTAGGATGAAGAGTCTCTCAGACTGCTTGAGGTAGTCTTCACGGTCGCGAACCGAATCTGTGGTACGAGTCGAATCGGTCGATTTGAGGGAAGAGACTGAAAGCCTGTCATCTTCCATTGGAGCTGTAGCATACTCTTTGCGTAAGCGGTTCAGACCTTCTTCGAAGTCTTGGTCTCTCTTCGATTGGGATTGAGATTGGAATTGCTGGGGTGGAGCTTGCTGGGGTGGAGCTTGCGGGAACATCCAAGGGTTGGGGAAGTAAGGCATAGGCTGAGGAGGAGGGTAGTTCGGGAAGCCTTGTGGTGGGTAGTAACATTGAGGTGGAAATTGGTAGAAATTTGGTGGAGGTACTTGCTGGAACTGAGGTGCAGGGGCTGGTGCTTTAGGTTCTGTAGCTTTCGGTACTTCTGGCTTTGGAATGGACTCGGTTGGTGGTACGTCGGACATTGTTCTGAAAAAGTACAAGTATTGTTCTGAAAAAGTACAAGTATTGTTCTGAAACAGTACAAGTATTGTTCTGAAAAAGTACAAGTATTGTTCTGAAACAGTACAAGTATTGTTCTGAAACAGGACAAATATTGTTCTGAAACAGGACAAATATTGTTCTGAAACAGGACAAATATTGTTCTGAAACAGGACAAATATTGTTCTGAAACAGAACAAATATTGTTCTGAATCAGAACAATATTTCTCACAAATTGAGAGCTTTGACGGGAAATTTGTTCTGAATCAGAACAAGTATTGTTCTGAAAAAGTACAAGACTTGTTCTGATTCAGAACAATACTTGTTCTGAAAAAGTACAAGACTTGTTCTGAAACAGAACAAGAC